GCGAGGCCTGAAGGAAGTGACGTCCCGGGATCAGCGCAGTGCAGATGGCATCGTGAATCGTGGTTTCTCTAATTGTTCTCGAAACGAGACACCGAGGGCCTAGGGTTCTTCTGGTAGGGCTCTGGTGTTGACTGGCGTCGCTGGTCTGCACGACAGCACAGCACGCCGACAAATTGGCCGCTCGTAATTCTGAGCTCCGAGACTCTGTCCGGGGTTCCCAAGAATCCTCGCAGCACGGTTCAGGCGGTCTCGATAGGAGCAAGGGCGTGCATGCTAAGCGGCAGGCAAGCATTCTCCCGTTCAGCCCACACACACCTCGCGGGCCATGAGCTCAACCGCCGTGGGTCATCGCACATCTGAGGTTGCAGTGGCTGCGGGCCCGGAGGCTTCACGCCGCAAACGCGTCAGGTCTGGGTGTCGTGTGCGCGCAGCATTGCTTTTCTGAGTCGCGCACTTGACGACAGTGTGGAGAGGGCGTGCCGCGCTGCGAGGGTAGGGAACGCCCCAAACAGGACCCTAGCAGCTAGGGTGCAGGCTGCACGTGTGATTGGCGTCCGAGAGTGAAGAGAGTGAATGGTGGGGGCAGCGTAGTCTGAGCGTGGGTGCCGAACGCTCCACACAGGCATCTCATTCTGCTCACCAAGGCCAGCGTCACGACTCACGACCCACCCAGTGCCACCGGCTGCCCGTCGCACGCTGGAGCCCGCATCGCTGCAATTCAATTATTGCGCCGCTCACTGGTCCCGGGAGCGCGAACATTTCGAGCCTTGTTCCCCGTGGAGGACAGCAGCCACAGTCCAATATCTACTCGTGACAGGCCGTTGTCGCTGTGCGAGGCCAGCACTCAGCACGCATCAAGCAACAGACAATCCCGCTCTTACGCTGGGCCTCTCGAACCTAGTATTATTTCTCGCAGCCTACCTTCCAGTGCCAGTGCAGGGCCTACTTCGGCTTGGTTGCAGCTGAGGTCCGCAGCTAACGTGGGGTGCGCCCATCCGATTCAGAGCACGCGCCGACGCAGCTACATCATCGCTTTCCCGTGAGAGGCACACTCGCAATATCCGCTGCCCACCAAAGAGGGCACCACCCCGACTGAAAACCCATGGACTTTGACAGACCAGAGGGCCAAATGGAGGTACAGTCGGCCCATGACACGAGCTCCAAGAGGGGCATGCTCCAGGATGCCATCTTCCCAGCGTTCGGCAACGATGCGGGCGCCCCCAGCGTGGAATCGCCAGAGCAACTGCAGAAGAACGATCCGCTGGGCACGCAAATCTGGAAGCTCTACTCGCGGGCAAAGACGCAGCTTCCCAATGCTGAGCGCATGGAGAACCTGACCTGGCGGATGATGGCCATGAACATGCGCCGCGCCGAGATGGATCGCAATAAAGGGTACGCATATGCCGCACTTGCTTTTGCGTCGCTACCACTTGACTCCCCAATACCAGCTGGCTAACTGTGATTCCTCGCGCGCAGGCCCGCTCCCGATGCGCACCACGCTGAACTGATGCCGCCGCCGCCCTCAACAGCAGGCGCAAGACCGCCGCCAAGATCCGCTCCCAGCGGCATCGCCCAGCAGCTGCGCAAGTCGCAGGACCAGCAAGCGCAGGTACAGCAGAACTCGCCCCACGACGCCATGAACCTGGACGATTTTATATTTCCGTCGTCCGTCGGCAGTCCTGCAGGCCTGTCGCCCGAATTGTCGAATGAGGATGCGGCTCCATTTAATGCAACAGCCCCAGCGATACCGATAAGAAAGCCGCATCTAGCCAACGACCACAACCTCTCCCTCGCCCGCGCCTCCGCGCCCTCGGTGCCTCCTACTATCCACAGAGAGGATGAATTTGGCTACGTTCCGCGACACGTCCGCAAGACCAGCATCGACGAGCGACGAGTGAGTTCCTTATCTCTCGCCCTGCCATTTCCTCACTAACCTCTTATCAGCCTCCCAAGCGGCGCGCTGAAGCCTCTCCTCTGGTCCCTCCCGTCAACAGTATCATGATACCCACCGACGCCCAGGCCGAGCACGACCTGCACCAGTACTCGCTCGACCACTCCATGCAGCCCCCCACCTTCCCAGCCTCACAGGCCCAGGCCCCCTTCAGCATAGACACCTTCTCCATGCACGACGACCCCGTCATACACTCCGCCGGCCCTTACCAGCAGAACTTCTCGGGCTTCTCCCCTGTCGGCTCGCCCCTCATGAGCCACAACGCCTTCAACTCCAACATGTTCAACCAGCAGTCCATGGCCTCCTCCCTCAACTCCACCGACTACTACTCCCCACCCAGCTCCGCCTTCCCCTCCACCGTCTCCACACCACAGCCCATCCCCGAGGACAACCAGATGTACTTTGACCGGAGTGGCATGGACATCCGCAACTCGCACGGCGGCGCCTCGTATGGACCCCACCGCCCTTCCAACCTGTCGACCTCCATGCAGCCGCAGTTCATCTTCAATCCCGGAGCCGGCGGTCCCGACTCTGTCTTCAGTCCAGTCACGAGCACTAGCGGGTCGCTACCATTCTCCTCAGCGTCGTCGTTCGGCCAGTCAAGTCACGTAGACCCGTCTCAAGTGCTCCACAACCATCTGCCGCTACGGCAGCAGCACGAGATGCAGATGGGACGCCAGGAGAACATGTTCACCTTCGGCGCAGATTCTGACGCCGAGGACGACGAAGGAAGCGCGTTTGCAGACCGTACCATGCCACAGGACTACTCGCAGATGGAGGACGGGTCACTTGACTTCAATGCTGGCTACCAGTGGGAGACAAATCTCTCGAATCAATTCAACCCGATGCAAGCGCGGTACCCGGCAGGACCCCCACGCAAGACAGTCACAATTGGCGGCACCGAAATGGTGCACTCACCGCAAGATCACTGGAGTCCTGGGGGCAGTCTTGGGCGGACGCATGGCTCGGCTGCCTCTGTAAGCGACATACGCAATCGAGGGAGCGATCCACGACGCCAGAAAATACCCCGCACTAGCTCAACACCTAACGCTGCTGGAATGCTGCACCAGGGCATGCATGGTCTAGTTTCGTCACCCAATTCACCGCCAGAGTCTGGCTTTAATTCTGCAGCCCCATCACGGCCTCAAAGTCCTGGTGGATCGAAGCAGGGTGACGGTGGTGCCCCCACAACTTGCACCAACTGCTTTACCCAGACAACGCCTTTGTGGAGACGCAACCCAGAGGGACATCCACTTTGCAATGCATGTGGCTTGTTCTTAAAGCTGCACGGAGTTGTTCGGCCCTTGTCGCTCAAGACCGATGTAATCAAGAAGCGCAACCGCGGGAGCGGCAACGCACCTGTAGGCACGACATCTACGCGATCGTCAAAGAAGTCGTCGCGAAAGAACTCAATCGCGCACACCCCGGTGACGACTCCCACGTCCCACAAGGCGGCCGAGTCTGAGTCTCCAAAATCTACTGGCTCGGGTGGAGGCGCCTCCGGTACCATGTCCTCATCTACCACACCGACATCCTCAAAACCGAGCGGTGTGGTTCCAATCGCGCCTGGTCCGCCTAAGTCCAACAGCTCCGTAAACTTGGCACAGACTCGCACTGTCGCTCCTGCGCCGAAGCGTGTTCGCGGCTCGAGCAAAGCGGAATCACAGGAGCTCGAAATGGGCGATGCGGACGATACGAGTGGTAGAGCGCCATTGCGCAGAAAAGACACTGCCATCGCTAGTCCCAGTCCTTTCCCAGGCCAGAATCTGGGCGCACTTCCGATGGGTGCTATGGGCCAAGGCTTGCAATCATCTGGTCCTGCTGAATGGGTAAGTAACATCTTCTCAAGTATCAAACGACGAACGCTAACGAACGACTTACAGGAATGGTTGACCATGAGCTTGTGATCTTAGCACATTCTCGCGCATTCCTCATCATCCACTACCAGTTCCAAACACCGATCTGGAGGAGCCCTTTGGGGCATATTACGAACCTATGTCTGCGTTTGCTTTCACACGATGTACCCGGTGTTTCGGAGTTCCGCGAGCATGGTCATGCTAGGGGCCTATTTGCTTGTTCACTCACACGTCTTTACCTCGCCTTTGATACCTCCAAACTTTCCGCGATGCGATTTACACCCTTGCAACGATAGACGCGGTCTGGCTGCTTTTCTTCCCGGTTTTTTGTGACATACCCTGTTTGCTTTTGTTTTCCCAACTGGCTAGCCAGCGAGATGGAGGAGGCAGGCGCTCCATCAAGTTGCAACAACCGCTCTAATATCTTGACGAAGACGTTCGGACTGCTTACTCTTATAAGACATCCTGTCTTATAGGAAGGAGGTGGTTCGTGTCACATTGCATGAGCTTATGAGAGAAAGAGAGAGAAGAGAGAGATATCCCGGGGGTTCCACGCGAATGCATAGAAGAAGAGTGGTGAAATGTACGCATCTTCTGCACATTTTGGTGTCTTCAAAGATGCTGCTGAGTTCGGCTCGAGTCCTGTTTTAGCGCCCTTTGCTCCTTTTCTATTACACGTGGGATGAAGATCTAGGAGGAACCCTACAAGGTTTCATACACAAGCAAAGCACACAAGACGGGCGAAAGGTGTGTATATAGCAGACGGCGAGACTTATACGGTGTCCTCTTTTTTTTCGTGATATCCTTGACGACCGATTGCTTTGGGCGTAACGTACCGAGGAGGAGAGGCAGCGAATGCTATATTTTTGACGACCTTTTTCTGTATGGAGTTAGCTGTGATGTCGTGACTTTGTGATGTAAACTGACTAACTTCCTTCCTATCTATCATAGATCTTGGAATGTTTTACCTCGTGTGCCATTGCAGGACATGATTGTAGGAAAAGTTCGGAATGAGTTTCCGAGCCCCTCCCCCTCCCCCCCTACTCCGCATACGTCACCCTTGCCTAAAGTGTGGATTCTGCTCAATCAACATCGACCCTCTCTCAGCCATTGCTTCAAACAATTCCCCCACACGTACCTTGTAGTACCACCACAGTTTTCATCTATCAAGGAAGTGCGGTGTATAATCTACGATGCCGAAAGCCCTAATCTTGGTCGCGGATGGATCGGAGGAGATCGAATTCGTGACGCCTTACGACGGTACGTTGAATAAGGTCTTATCTCATCACACCCCCAAGCTGTTGAAAGGCATGTGCTATTCAACTGGATTATCATCGGATCGTTTGAGCTATAACATACAATTTGACGACAACCACGTCCATTTTCTGGTTGATGCGCCAGTGCTTAGCAACTGAGCATGCGCGAGTCCGAAAGAGTTGTTCCTAATTTTAAGATCGCACAAAGAGATTACGCAAGAGGATGTTGTAAATGGCTTGGAAGCAATAGATGCATACTGCTTTAGGAGGATTAGTGGGCTACTTTCACGGTCATGAAGAAGAGATCTACTAAATCTGCTGATGGACATGCCGATGCTAACATGCCATCGCAGTTCTAACCCGTGCGGGATTCGAGGTGAAATCCGCTGGTGTAGACCTCAAGAATGAAGGCTATGCACAGTAAGTATAACTCATCCACGTTCTCCATCATCTCCCATCCCCATTGTTATCTTGCCCGATCCTATCCCCCACAAATCCGCGCATAGCAAAGCAACTCATTTGGAGTTTTAGCATGTCACGCAACATACGCATCGTACCAGACTACCATAAAACTACCGATGTGCTAAGGGAGACGGCGCATAAGGCGTACGAGCACTACGATATCCTGATCCTTCCTGGCGGCGCACCCGGCGCTAAAACCTTCTGCCAAAACAATGACGTCCGCCAACTCATCTGGGACTTCCGTAACCACGGGAAATGGGTTGCTGCCATTTGCGCAGCGACAACGGCGCTTGTTGCTACGGAGTGGTGGGTTGCGACAAAGACTCCGGATGGGGGCAAGAAGCGTGTTACGAGTCATCCCAGTGTGAAGGAAGAAGTTGAGGAGGCTGGTTGGCAGTACAGCGAGGAGAGGGTTGTGGTTGATGGCAAGGTTATCACGAGTCGAGGGCCAGGGACTGCGATGCTTTTTGCGCTTACGATTGTGGAGGTGATGTGTGGGAAGGATAAAAGGGCGGAGGTGGAGGGGCCGATGGTTTGTGCTGAGACTCTGTAAAGGGTCAAAGGAATGATTTCGAAGGAAAGGAGGTATACTTAATCGTTCTGGGTATGACATCGAGTGGCGATGAGATGTTATACGAGTAAAGAGTACAAGGCAAGAACTGGAGCCGTTACTACCTGTTGCTATACATGTCTTTCTTGATTGCACCACGTTCTGAATGTAGAAAGATTACACCACGATCTCTACTTCGCACCACAATACTCGCTTAGCCTTTGTCGCTGTCGATTTCTTGTCTCACTAATAGATTCTGAACTCCGCATACGTTGTAAAAAGGTCAGTAGCTCGCATCTCGCAGGGGAGGTGCTTTCCGTCGGCATCGCTCGTGCTTCGTCCTCGCACCTTCCAATGTACTAAACTGCATCTCCACCCTCTTCGGATCGATAGAATATGTCTGGGTTTAGTCTAGATCAGCGGCAGCTTAACACGTTTCTTTCTACCTCACTAATCTATATATTTCGTATCGGCTATTCCTCTCGTGATCTCCATCTCTATTCGCAAGCCTTCTTCAATGCCTAGGCGCTCTTCTCTCTGACTTTGGTTGTCGGGAGAGGAGGTCCGTGACTTCGAATATAGTCATCGTGAATAGTTCTTCATTTACGAGACTTCTTTTGCTACCTCTCGGTCTCATTAGGTCGCTGTAATGGTATGGTGATAATACTAGGACATCTTCTATTCCCGTAAAATGGAATATCAAGAATTCCAATTACACTTCCATGATATGATCATTTTGGAACTGGAAGGCACGGGAAACCCACAGCTTTATACGCCGTCTTACCATCAAGTGCAGTAAGAAGTAGTGAGACTCTTGGCACATGAACCTGGGTGCTGCGAAAGTGATTTTGTTAATGCCAAGTCGACATGAAAGCCATTGCAGTCATACCGTATACCAAAATGCAATTTCAATCACCAGCCCGAGCCAAGACTAGGCCCTAGTTTGAGGCCAAGGCGCACTCTATCGTTGATGATGCCAAGAGCGCCACTAATTATTACTGCACCTGATGGTACGCCTTCGAAGATGCTTGCTGTACTAATAATTCTATAGACAGCTTACCAAGAGTAGGTTATTTTTGCGCAGATGTGAAAATCACGTGAGCACACCGGTGTGCTAGCACCGGGCGATCTACATCCCGAATTGATGACGGCGAAGAGGCGGGGAAATCGGTCCGCCTAGGGCAACGGCCAACCTCAGCAACGAGGGCGAACGCGAAAGCGAAAGTTTGGATACACATTTGCATGGGAGGGTGGTAGAGCTCTTCTACGCTCTGATTGGATGCTGGAATACGCGCGATACGGTGGGCTAAAGTTTGTCGAGACGAGAACTGTCCTACAATCGCCAAGTGCCACAGTGCTGTTGAAGATATGCCAGTGAGCGTTTCCTTGTGGTATGTACTACGTGGTGAGCGTGGCTGGCCATGTGCTTGGGGTTGCTGCGCGACATATCGGTCTGTTCTAACGGCGCTTACTTCTTCGTTGCCTGGTTGGACGCGTGGACATGTCCATGTACTGGGGTAAGCGATGAGGCGTCTTTCGCATCGGTTATGTGGTTTGTCCATGGGTCCTCCATGATAGAGTGCTTACGATGCGTTTGTTGGAGGACCAAGAGGGAGGAAGGTGGTGCAGCGACATGTCGGAACATCGTGATCCGGTGTGGGCAGCCATCCCTCCTTGCTTGTGGAGTCCTTGCTGCAGATTCTGGCTGTCGCAAAGTTGGGTAGCTGCACAGGCTGTCGTATGTCGTATCCATCGACTTCATATTGGATGAATCAGCAAGGATTATAATGATGGAGAATGGCCAGCGAAGGATTCGAATTCGGGTACATTCCCGTGCTGGTGCAGCAGCCTCGCGTAGAGATCTCGGTTAGATGAACGGAAGACGGAAGAGGCGTCAGCCGCAGCAAGGGTCCAGCAGCTCCTTCTTGCACCTGCCTCTCTTTAACGACCTGGTTACACAAACATATCCATCGTGCACTGCCTGCACCGACACGAAGGACGATTGTCTTTCATCGTCGGAATGGCGCGTGCGGTCCGTTGCCAGGGTTCTGCTGATGCCCCTCACCGACCGTGCTCACCAACGCCCGCGCAGGGTAATGATCCTTCCGAGCCGCACATACGCGTCAGTCTAGGCTGCTTGGTGAAGCACGTCGGGCGTACTCCCCGTACTGTAAGGCCATCGATTGGATCGTCTCTCACCGTCGAAGATAAAGATTGGTGACGCTGAGGCATATTCAGCAACCTCGACAAAGAACATATGAGGCACTCGCTAAGAATGTCCGGTTTGTTCCCTTGGCCCAGTGATCTGACGTCGAGTACGAATGGAGTGCTGAGGGCTGAACTCAATGTGTGACCCCGAGACACAAACGGTCAGGCTTGGCCTGGGGATCGTCGAGCGCTTTGCCCGTCAGACCCTAGCGGTCAGTCAAGGATCCGCTCTGTGTATACACCGTATCAACCGTATAGAGCGAAGCGCACCAATGATCCTGGCTTTTCTAGACCAGGGGAAACATTCTCGGTATATGTAGAAGGACGACCACGTCGCGACTCCACCCGCCACTCACCGTCCACCTTTCCGACACCAACACGCAGCACCCGCAGGTGACATATCGAACCTAAGGGCATCCCCACTGCTTACCTCGAAGATGGCCGCCAAATTCGAAAACATCAACACCTCCGCGGTGCCTCCTACACAGGAATCTGGAATGATGGACAGCCAAACTATGGCGCAGTTGACGCACACGCTGCAGACTGTGGCTATCGCAACCCTCTTTTTCGCAGTCTGCGCATACGTTCCCAAACTTAAACGAAAGGCCCAGCTGGGAAGCCTGCCGGTTCTCGGCGGAGAGACCGGAGAGAAACACCGACAGGCATACCTCACTTCTGCTAAGAAGATGTATGAAGATGGTTACGCCAAAGTAAGCTAATCGTGGGTCTTTTGAAATGCTCTCACTCACAGCGCTGCTAGTTCAAAGACTCTGTGTACAGAATTGTAGGAGAGCAGGGTATGTTTGCGTATTCCAAGAAAAAGGAAAATGCATCGCTCATACCTCTTTAGGCGAAGACAACATTGTCATACCCTCAAGTCTGCTCCCAGAGCTGCGAAAACTCCCTGATGATGTTCTCAGCTTCCCTGCCGCCGTCAAGCAGGTATGTAGACGTGAGCAATTAATGTCGAAAGTAAGCTGATCGCCTTTAGCTCATGGAAGTCAAATACACCAAACTGCAAGTTGAGGGAGCGACCGGTCTTCATTCGGTCAAGCATGACCTCACACCAGCACTCCGTAGGTCGAAACGAACAACTCTGCTCACGAGCTGGTGAAGCTGATATTATGGCAGCTCGATTAAACCCAACAATCGCCACGGAAGTCGACATCGCTCTACGAGAGTCTATGCCCCCATGCGAAGAATGGACTGACGTTTACATTTTCAAAGAGCTCGTCGATGTCATTGCAAAAGTCTCCGGTCGCATTTTCGTCGGACCAGAACTATGTCGCAACCCAGAATACATCAAGCTCGGAACGAACTACACAATGGATCTGGTGGCAGGAGTCACAGCTTGCAAGAAGGTCCGCCCATGGCTGAAGCCGTTCCTGTGTCCCCGCCTCCCAGAGATCGTCAAGCTTCGCAAGATCGAGCAACAACTGAGCGACTTTCTGCACCCGATCGTAGAGGAGAGGATGACCGCCAAGGCGAAAGATCCGAATTGGCAAGAGCCAGACGACATGCTGCAGTGGATGATCACGAGGGGTAAAGGTAAAGACACGATCGACGAAATTACTAGGTTCCAACTCGGTCTCATCTTTGCCGCCATCCACACCACAAGTATGACCGTCACCAGCATCATGCACACGCTCGCCGTCACACCAGAGTACATCGATCCTCTCCGTGAGGAGATCCGCAATGTCATGGCCAACAACGATGGAGTCATTACTTCTCGCGCTCTGCAACAGATGGAGAAAGTCGATAGCTACATGAAGGAGGTCATCCGCTTCTACCCAACAGGCTACAGTAAGTTACATCCTGTCAATATGCATCACTCTTGGAGAATGTCACAACTAACCCCATCCCCTCCAGCGGCCTTCAACCGCCGCGTCCTCAAAGGCATCACCCTCAGCAACGGCCAATACATCCCGCCCGGCGTCACCATCGAAGTCCCCTCGGCAGCCGTCTACCTCGACGAAAAGAACTACCCCTCCGCCGACGAATTCGACGGTTTCCGCGCCTACAAGGCACGCCAGAGCGGCAAAGCAGCGGACATTGCACGCAACCAGTTCGTCACCACCAACGAGACCAACCTCAACTTCGGCTACGGAGCCCACGCTTGCCCAGGCCGCTTCTTCGCTGCCAATGAGATCAAGATGATTTTGGTTAGGCTGATTCTCGAGTATGATGTCAAGATGCCGAATGATGAGACGGTGAGGTATCCGATGGTTGATGTGAGTACGCAGAGTATGCCTGATCCGACGAAGGCGTTGAAGTTTAGGAAGGTGCAGATTTGAGTGCGTGGGATGGTGTTGGTTTGGATTATTTACACGTGACAGGAAAGAGCTTGGAAGCAGGTCTAGAGATGGTTTTCTACTGGGCTTGTGTATCGACTGTTGCGACGGTTCGTTGTTTCTGCTTCATACCTTTCTCTCTTTTGCGACTTCCTCTTTTACGATAGCTCAATACCATTCGTCCTACTAAGAAGCGCCATGCTTTCATTCCACAACATATGTGTCCGCTTCCTCACATCCACCCTAATATGCAGTGTCTCCACGTACGTTGGCGCTACCCAATGCTACCACATCACCCCTTCCGTCCCCGATAAAGTCATCGACAGCATTCTGACCCTCCCGGGTGACCTGGCCTAGCACAAAAGATACATGTCAGCTGCTCCACGTCCAAGTACCCAACCATCACCCAAACTAGTTAGAAGAAATAAAAACATACCATCACCACTGTTATCCTCACTCACGGTACCCCAGCCCATACACCCAATCACTCCGATGATAAGTCCG